AATATTTTTGTCGCTTACATTAAAAGATGGGCTTAGTATTTCCAAAGAGATCTCACAACACGAGGTCCCACAAAGAACCAAAAGTTGAAGAAAATGCTGTGGCTGCTAATACTGCAACTGCTGCTGCTTCTACTACTGCTGTCGCTGCTTCTACAACTGCTACTGCTACTACAGCTAATCGTGTTGAATGTTACAGTAAAAGTGCTATAGAAATTGGAGTGAACGATTTTTCTCTGAAACCGGAAAAGACTGAAGAACGGTTGAAGCATCGTCAAGAGCAGCAGCAGCAGCAACAGCAGCAACTTCAACAGCAGCAGCATCCACAACAGCATTATAAACAAGAACAACATCATCAATTTCCACATCATTCTCCACAGCAACAACACAACCGCCCACTTCGTTATTATGATAACAAACGGCAAACTGATACTCCCAACTACACTGATGAATCTCAGTTCTTGCAGCAGCAGCAGCAACAGCAGCAACGACAACAACCACAAATTCGTCCTCAGTTGCCGCGTCACCACCACCAACAACAACAGCAGCAACAGCCACAACCTCCTCAACAGCAGCCACAACTTCGCCAACAACGACAACAGCTTCCAACATTGTATGAAGATTATTACGTTGAATCACCCGCGGCCAAACAACATCTACCGAAACCCCACAAGAGGCCGGGTCGTACGGCTAAACCGGGGCCCAAAAAAAAGCCAAAGTACCCACCAATTCTCAGCCCATCCATCATGAATCTCGACAGCTCTACCGTTTATCCATGCAAAATTTGCAAGAAGTATGTAGCTGGAGTGGATTTGGTTGTAGTGGTAAATTTAGTTTTATGGGGGAAGATGTGGTTTTCAGGGGTGGTTTTGGGGTGTTGAATTTTGTTTGTTGTGCGGGGGGAATGATTTTTGTGGCGGGTAGTGTTTCTTTTGATTTTTTTCTTACGCGTGTTACATTTAGTCGGTGGTGTGTATTGATATATAGTCGGTTGATAGCTTGCCCCACCCCACCATTAATTTAATTGCATTCTGTTAGTATCGCTTTGGACCTCGGGGTTCTTCAGTTTAACTGTTTCTAAACCCCAAGAAGGTTTTCAATGAGTTATTCGCATATAAAATTAACTTTGGGAATATGGCTGATATTAATGTTAGTGTTTATTAAATGTTATATAACATATTTGAATGTGATAATGATGACAGGTGGTGATGATGTGGTAGATGAAAAATGATGAAACTTAATGATGATGAAACTTAATGATAATGCTACGGTAGACAAGAAGTGTGTTAACTAATAAAAATTACGATTTGAAAGGGTCTTTTACAAAGTGAAAAGTCGATCAGCCCACATGAAATCTCACCGTTTCCTCAACAAAAACCTCAAAAAACAGTTGATAGAGGATTCATTCAAGACACCATCCTCCTCATCAACAACTACTACTGCTGCATCTTCTAGCGATTCATCTCAACAACAATACAAACAACAACAGCAGCATAGACAACAACAGCAGCAACAACAACAACAACAGAGAGAACGTATTAACTGGCCAACTGATTTCCAACAGCAGCTGTTTTCACAACAAAGTGAACTTAATTATTCGTCGTTCCGTCAACAGCAACAACATCCGCCACAGCAGCAGCAACAACAACCTCAACAGCAACAGCATCAGCAACGGCAACAATGTCAACAACAACCACAAAGACAACCAAATTTTTCTGAAAACCCGCCAACAAAGCAGCCTAATTTCTCCCAACAACATCAACATAATCAACAAGCCAATCAAAATTAC